TGATGGGTTAATACTAGTAAAAGCATGATGGTTGATATTAGCAAAAGCGTGATGGGTAAATACTAGTGAAAGTGTGATGGGTAACAACTAGGAAAATCATGATGTGTAAATGTTAATAAAAGCGTGATGAATAAATACTAGTAAAAGCGTGATGGGTAAATACTAGTAAAAGCATGATGGGTAAATACTAGTAAAAGTGTGATGGGTAAATACAAGTAAAAGTGTGATGGGTAAATACTAGTAAAAGCATGATGGTTGAATATTAGCAAAAGCGTGATGGGTAAATACTAGTAAAAGTGTGATGGGTAACAACTAGGAAAATCATGATGGGTAAATACTAGTAAAAGCGTGATGGGTAAATACTAGTAAAAGCGTGATGGGTAAATACTAGTAAAAGCGTGATGGGTAAATACTAGTAAAAGCGTGATGGGCAAATACTAGCAAAAGCATGATGGGTAAATACTAGCAAAAGCATGATGGGTAAATACTAGTAAAATCATGATGGGTAAATACTTGTAAAAGTATGATGGGTAAATACTAGTAAATTTGTGATATGTAAATATTATTAAAAGTGTGATGGGTAAATACTAGCAAAAGCATGATGGGTAAATACTAGTAAAAGCGTGATGGGTAAATGCTAGTAAAGGTGTGATGGGGAAATACCAGTAAAAGAGTGATGGGTAAATACTAGTAAAAGTGTGATGGGTAAATACTAGCAAAAGCATGATGGGTAAATACTAGTAAAAGCATGATGGGTAAATACTAGTAAAAGCGTGATGAGTAAATACTAGTAAAAGCGTGATTGGTAAATACTAGTAAAAGCGTAATGAGTAAATACTAGTAAAAGCGTGATGGGCAAATACTAGCAAAAGCATGATGGGTAAATACTAGCAAAATCATGATGGGTAAATACTAGTAAAATCATGATGGGTAAATACTTGTAAAAGTATGATGGGTAAATACTAGTAAAATTGTGATATGTAAATATTAGTAAAAGTGTGATGGGTAAATACTAGCAAAAGCATGATGGGTAAATACTAGTAAAAGCGTGATGGGTAAATACTAGTAAAAGTGTGATGGGTAAATACTAGCAAAAGCATGATGGGTAAATACTAGTAAAAGCATGTTGGGTAAATACTAGTAAAAGTGTGGTGGGTAAATACTAGCAAAAGCATTATGGGTAAATAGTAGTAAAAGCATGATGGGTAAATACTAGTAAAAGCGTGATGGGGAAATACCAGTAAAAGAAATATTGGTAAATACTAGTAAAAGTGTGATGGGTAAATACTAGCAAAAGCATGATGGGTAAATACTAGCAAAAGTGTGATGGGTAAATACTAGTTAAAGCATGATGGGTAAATACTAGCAAAAGCATGATGGGTAAATACTAGTAAAAGCATGATGGGTAAATATTAGTAAAAGCATAATGGGTAAATACTTGTAAAAGTATGATTGGTAAATACTATTAAAAGCGTAATGGGCAAATACTAATAAAAGTGTGATGGGTAAATACTATTAAAAGCGTGATGGGTAAATACTAGTTAAAGCGTGATGGGTAAGTACTAGTAAAAGCATGATGGGTAAATACTAGCGTCAGCATCATGGGGTAAATACTAGCAATAGCATGATGGGTAATTACTAGTAAAAGCATGTTGGGGAAATACTAGTTAAAGCGTGATGTATAAAAACTAGCGTCAGAATGATGGGCAAATACTAGCAAAAGCGTGATGGGTAAATACTAGCAAAAGCATGATGGGTAAATGCTAGCAAAAGCGTGATGGGTGAGAACTAACGTCATAATGATGGGCAAATACTAGCAAAAGCGCGATGGGTAAATGCTAGCAAAAGCGTGATGGGTAAATAATAGCAAAAGCGTGATGGGTAAATACTAGCAAAAGCGTGATGGGTAAATACTAGCAAAAGCGTGATGGGTAAATACTAGCAAAAGCGTGATGGGTAAATACTAGCAAAAGCATGATGGGTAAATACTAGCAAAAGCGTGATGGGTAAATACTAGCAAAAGCGTGATGGGTAAATACTAGTAAAAGCATGATGGGCAAATACTAGCAAAAGTATGATGGGTAAATGCTAGCAAAAGTATGATGGGTAAATACCAGCGTAAGCATAATGTGTAAATACCAGCGTAATCATGATAAATAAACTTGGAAAGTTTGTATTATGTGCTACTATCAAAATTACAGACTTCAAGAACTGTTGACTTTAGTCTGAGTAGAACGAGGCTTTTCTTCGTCTCAGAACACTCTTGTAAGGCAGCTAACTGTTTCTAAGCATATCATAATTGTTATGAATATAGTAAAGGAATGTTTAGAAAACAATTTTTCATTCAATGCAGATTTACTGCCAAACATTTGAAACTGGTTTAGTTCTTTCCAATCTTCATGAAAAACGAAGCAAATATTTTGTTACAGAACACAGACTACTGAGTAAAATTGAAATATAAACCACTGGCTTGCTTTTATTTGAAAAAAAATATAATCATATTATATATTATTTTAAAGATAGCTTAGATAAACATTCAGTAAAAGGCTTGTATATGAGTATTATTATGTCTCTATGGTCTTAAAATACGTAATAGAAAAGAGTGAACATCAACAAGCTTCATAAAATTCAACAAATATTTATTTCCTTAGAATATAAAGTGAAAATGTGAAAAAGGGAACTTACGGAATTGAGAATTAAATCCCAAATAATTTTAGAATTACAGACACAAGTCCAAATATTCAAAGTTCTAATTAAACTTTAGTGAAAATCTAAAATTAAGTCCAAATGTTCAGGTGCATGTTTTGGATCGTAAAGTGTTGATGTGCCATCAGTCTTTTGTTGAAATAAATGCCAATATTAAATGCGGAAAGTATTCTCTGATTTTGGTACAAGTATATATGGTGAACTACACTCACCTTTACACTGTTCTATGAAATCATTTTCCAACAAATACTGAATTTCCTTTTTCAAATATTCCTGTTTGAGAGAGTTTATCCTGTACATACGCTGTTTCACAGACAGTTCTTGAACTCTTCAACTAATGTGAGTTGTATGACATTTTCGTAATATTGACCAACTTTCTTGGCTAAGAAACACCTATCAAATAATTTCTTCATTCCTCGTGCAAAATCGACATGAGTTTGTCCAGTTTCTTTATATTAATTCCTAAAATTTTGTCGATAAGCATCAGATATCAACTCATAACAGTCAATATGCATTCCCTAGCCAGATCATAATCGCTGTACTGACAGGAAAGTGTAGATGTCATGAGCTTTGCCGAAAGGTGCACATTGTATTAATAGTCCATTGGTCCCTTGGCCAGCACTTTCTTCAAAATGAGAAAATATTTATCTACTTCTTTTCCTTTAAAAGGAGATAATAACTTAATATTTTAGCAATATCAAAACGTGATCTTGTGTGCAAATGGAACATTGCTTTTCACTTGTCAGCTCTAATTCTTTTTAATCTAAATTTATTCTCTCTCTCTCTCTCTCTCTCTCTCTCTCTCTCTCTCTCTCTCTCTCTCTCTCTCTCTCTCTCTCTCTCTCTCTCTCTCTCTATCTCTCTGAAACTGCATCTCCATTTTCTTATATCTTTCCTCTTTATGTAATTGCATTCGATTCTCTTCTTTTTTGTAATTGCATTTGTCTATTTTGCCACTATCTACAATTGCAATTCTTTTGATTTTCTCCAAAGCTTTAGCTTTCGTAACTCTAACTTCATCTTGTAGTTTAATTTCAGTTGCTGTACTTTTATGTTAGAGTCTGATACATGCTTATTCATCACACCCAAATCTCTTTTATCCAAACATTCATTTTGCATCAAATATAGCACCAAAATGTATTTTTATTTCTTGCTTCGTTAAAGAAACCTCAGAAAGATAATATTCATCTTGTTTTGTTTTCTAGGGAAAAATTTGGAATAAAGTTGCCGCTTTAGACGATATTGTAAAAGCTTGTTGGTTTCACAAAAGATTTCTAAACTGTGAAATAATACCCGGAACGTAAAAAAATTCAAAAACTCAAGGTGAATTTAAATTTCAAACACAACGTTTCTGAAATATTTGAGAGAAATTCGTATCAGAAGGACGAGCACCAACATGGTCTTAAAATAAGTAACAAAAAAGAGTGTAAAATTCTACAGATGATTAATTTCCCTATAATCCAAAACTTTAAATGCAAAAAGGAACTTACAGAATCGCAAACTCAATAAACAAATAATCATAGAACTCCAAACACAAATCCTAATATTTTAAGTTCTAAATAAACTTTAATAGAAATCCAAAATAAATCTAATGCTAAAATTGCTAATGTGTCTCTGCTGCCCAGCATTGTGGTGTTGTACCAACAGTCTTTCGTTGAAATATAATTCCAGGTTTGAATTTACTTTAATCCCAGTGAATGTCTCTATCCAAAAATATTATTTTTTTTTAAAAAAAACGCTCTGTATTTCTAGAGAAAAAATACTTGAATTAAATAATGTGAAGAACTAAAGTCCATCCCAAATTAACCAATGGACACAACAATAACACAACTTGTTTATGCTAGATCTTGAAGCATGAATAACAGATATTCAGAGGGAAAAAACAAATCAGTAATATAACAAACTAAGATGCAAAGCGAAATCCCGAATAAGACAAAAAGTTCATTGTTCTAGAATGAATAGAAATTTGTTAGCATAAGAAACGTTACGGAAATCAAGTAGTCCAAAATTGTCACTGAATTTTGACAAGATTAACAACTATGTGCATTGTTTTATTTCCCACAGCATATAATGAAATATTTGAATTAAAAAATAAAAATAACTAAGAAACAATGCATATATATATATATATATATATATATATATATATATATATATATATATATATATATATATATATATATATATATATATATATATATATATATATATAAATATATATATATATATATATATATATATATATATATATATATATATATATATATATATATATATATATATATATATATATCCACTCCGATGGCTTAGTGGTTAGAGCATCCGCCTCGGATGCGGGAGGTCGTGGGTTCAATCCCAAGTCGAGTCATACCAAAGACTTACAAAAATGGTATTAACAGCTGCCTCTCTTGACGCTCACCATTAAGAGGTTAATGGTAGGACACGTCGGCTTGGTGTCAGGATAATGTGACTGGGTGGGACATCATGCTACATGTCTGCGGCATGTAGCCTCAGTGCTAGACATCACTATAAACTGCCACACTGTAGACATCATAGCAATATGACTGAAAAATTGTTAAATCTACGTTTAAAATCATAATCATATGCACACACTCTTTCAATTGCCATTAACATAGTATGGGAAACTTAATGTATTTCACTAAAAGCACTAGTTACCATTACAAATTACTAATTAATCGAAAACATAGCCTGCTCTCCCTTAAAATCAATTAAGACCCTCAAACATGCCATTGATTTTATTGTGTCTGATCATCTACATATTCCTATGACTTTGGCATATTCACGGACATCTGCAATATGTATGTATGTATGTATGTATGTATGTATGTATGTAGGTAGGTAGGTAGGTAGGTAGGTAGGTAGGTAGGTAGGTAGGTAGGTAGGTAGGTAGGTAGGTAGGTATGTATGTATGTATGTATGTATGTATGTATGTATGTATGTATGTATGTATGTATGTATGTATGCATGTATGCATGCATGCATGCATGCATGTATGCATGTATGCATGAATGTATGTATGCATGCTATTTATTTAATGGGATGTTTACTGGAATTTCTTTTTCACCATATATCTTCATCTATGTGTGTGTGTGTGTGTGTGTAGCAGAGACCGCTACTGGTATTTTACTTGAAGAGGAGTTCACATCATAGTATGTCTTGTGAAGTGCTGACTTAAAAGCTTTTGGTTATTTGGTACTCACAATACTCATGTCCAGGTGGTTACACTGCACAACAGTGTTTATAACAAAAGAATTTCTTATTTGTTGACTACTCAAACCTTTACCAACAAAACAATCAGAATTGTTAGTGAAGTTGCTTTTTGTTAGTTTCAAAGTCAGCAAAAGATTTAGATTTTATAATTCCTTCATTACTTTGAATAGGTAAGTGAGTCTATTGAACCTATGTTCGGTAAAGGAGGATAGCCACTTACTGAGTCATCCCTGCACTCTAAAGCAGAGTATTTTATGAAGAACACCATGCTACAGTAATTTTTAAAAGTTCATTCTTCATTATATCCATCACAGTACAAGTTTAAGTTGTTTGTTGCTGTGGTAGTAGAAATATGCAGCAGTTGCGAATTTGCACAAGAGTTGTGCTATATATTGTCTGCAAATTTGCACAAGAGTTGTGATATATATTGTCTGCAAATTTGCACAAGAGTTGTGCTATATATTGTCTGCAAGCTTTAAAGTCTCCAGTTGCATAGATCATGTCATTGTAAAGTCAGTTGATGAATTTTTCTCAAGTTTAGTGTGTTGACAAGGTGTTATGAAACGTTTCCTCACATATGGTTATTCATAATGAATGCAATAAATCACTTGTTTGAATAACAAAGTATTATATTCTTGTTGTTAATTTCACAGGATTATTGTACTACTGTCTTGGAATGGCAATACATTTGCCCAAAAGGGTCTCCAGGTAATGATATCCAATAAATCCAATCATGCACACATGTGTACACATACATACAAGGGAGGGAGAGTCGTCATGTCGAGTTGTTCCAAGAGTATTTTGTAGTCAGCTAAGTCCAAAGGACTGGTAAAGTCCCATGGAATTCAGTGCAAAACTGGATGCAGAAGTCCATCATTGAGAGCCTTATGATGTGTTGGTGAATTCTGATGTTTAATAATTTAAATAATTTTAAGAAAATAATTTTAATTTAAATTCCCTAACCCTATCATTAACATGTAATGTAAATTCTGATGTATAATAGAAAGTTTTGTCCATGATTTACTATACACAACATAACCATTCAAATGTCACTGTGCCATAATACACAATATAACCATTTAAAGGTCACTGTGCCATAACACACAATATAACCATTCAAAGGTCACTGTGCCATAACTCACAATATAATTATTCAAATATCACTGTGCAATAACACACAATATACTTATTCAACTATCACTGTGCCATAACACATAATATAGCTATTCAAAGGTCACTGTGCCATAACACATAATATAGCCATTCAAAGGTCTCTGTGTCATAACACACAATATAACCATTCAAAGGTCACTGTGCCATAATACACAATATAGCCATTCAAGTGTTGACATGCTATAAAACATAAAAACCCTATATAAAGCCAATTTTTAATTTTCCATGTGAGTATATTATAGTCAACTATGTCAAAGGCCTGTTTAAAGTCTGTTCTAACTAATTTTTCATTGTTTATACATCAATGAATTATGTTAGTTTTAATTGACTTTATTGGTTTTGTCTAAATTTAGATTGGGCTGAGTGAATTAAATAGAGAGATAACCATCAATGTTTGTCTTTTAATCAGTTTGGAAATGGTTGACAGAATAGATATTGGTTTATAATTATCTGGATTTAATTCTGAACCCTTTCTAAAAACAAGCAAAACCTTAGCAACCTTCATTTGAGATGGGAAGATTCCATTAGCTTTCATTATTTATATAGGCAGAAGATGGAGTCATAATACCAGCACATTTGTTTAGCATAAATGGACCTTTATGGTCCAATCCAACTGATTTCCTAGAATTTAACAGTTTTAGTCAATTAATTGGTACATGACATAAATGGAATAGCAAACTGTACATTTCCAAGAATTTTAGATCTAATAAAAAACTTGTAAATTCTTAATCTTTACATTTAGATCTGAAATATTGGAATTCATGTTTGTTATATTAATGCAGTGCTCATTAAATTTGTCAATAATATCATGTATATCAGTAATTATTATCCAATTAATCACTAGCTGATTTGAGATCTTTGTATTTTTATTTGGAGTAAAATTACTCAAAATTTTGCATATTTGGATTTTTTTTTACCTTTTCAACATATATTTTATAACAATTTATTTTAGCAGACTGGGTCATGGCAGTACATGTGTTACACCAGACTGGGTCATGGAAGTATATCTGTTGCACCAAAATTTGTTATGGCAGTACATCTGTTACACCAGACTGGGTCATGGCAGTACATCTGTTACACTAAACTGGGTCATGGCAGTACATCTGTTACACCAGACTGGGTCATGGAAGTACATCTGTTACACAAAACTGGGTCATGGCAGTACATCTGTTATGCCAGACTGGGTCATGGCAGTACATCTGTTACACAAAACTGGGTCATGGCAGTACAACTGTTACACCAGACTGGGTTATGGCAGTACATCTGTTACACCAGACTGGGTCATGGAAGTACATCTGTTACACCAGACTGGGTCATGGAAGTACATCTGTTACACCAGACTGGGTCATGGAAGTACATCTGTTACACCAGACTGGGTCATGGAAGTACATCTGTTACACCAAAATTTGTTATGGCAGTACATCTGTTACACCAGACTGGGTTATGGCAGTACATCTGTTACACCAGACTGGGTCATGGAAGTACATCTGTTACACCAGACTGGGTCATGGAAGTACATCTGTTACACCAGTCTGGGTCATGGCAGTACATCTCTTATACCAGACTGGGTGATGGCATTACATCTCTTACACCAGACTGGGTCATGGAAGTACATCTGTTACACCAGACTGGGTCTTGACAGTACATCTGTTACACCAGAGTGGGTCATGGCAGTACATCTGTTACACCAGAGTTTGTAGTTGATATTATGACAATAGTCTCTATTCTGTCTGGCTTGACATAGTTCTGTTGTAAGCCATGTGACTATTATGTCTGTCTGTCATCTGTTATTTGTAATCCATGTTAGGTTTTGATTGTGTTTCACTCAGATTTGTTTTAAATGTTGAATATAATTCATAATACCTTCAAATGCTTCAGTGGGGGTCTTTTATATTTTCTAGAAAAAATTTATTACATATAAAAATTAAAAACTATGCAAATAAACTTTGATTTAACCAAAAATGTTTTTAAGTGTATACTAAATATGCAAAAAGAGGATTCCTGCCTATCAAAAGAACTTTTTATTTATAAATAAAAGCCTTCCATATTTTTAGTTTCAAAGCTGACAAGTGTTTAAGAGCAATGTATAATACATATTTATCATTTGAAAGAACATCTTTACGAAAGCAAGTAAATAAATTTATTGCACTATGCAAATGGGATTGTTAAGATAAAATGCATGGAACATATATCAAAAAGAGTATTTATTTGCTACCAATATCTAAAATATTCCAAGAGTCATCATAATAATGGTAATACTACTACTACTACTACTACTACTACTACTACTACTACTACTACTACTAATAATAATAATAATAATAATAATAATAATAATAATAATAATAATAATAATAATAATAATAATAATAATAATAATAATAATAATAATAATAATAATAATAATAATAATAATAATAATAATAATAATAATAATAATAATAATAATAATAATAATAATGTATTTATTTCTTAAACATTAAATATATCATGATCTGATCCATGTTGTAATGGGAGCCTCCATTTTGTGACTGGGGATCCTTTTTGTACATTGGGGCAATAGTATTACATAATAGCCCTTTTGTACACAGGGTAATAACTTGTTATGAATAGATTTGTTTAGTCTAGTTCATTACTATTTTTTAATGTGTTCTTTTGTACACTGGGAACTCTTTTGCAGCCAAGCACTCCTTTTTTTGACAAAAAGTTCTTTCAGTATTATTATCTATTTTCTCTTTTGTATACATGAAGTCATTGTTGCAGAAGCAATTTAAATTTAGTATTTAACAAAAAAGATCCTTTTGTACATGGAGGAATTCATTTTTGAAGAATTTGTTATTTTTTCAAGAGTTTAGATTTATATAGACATAAAAATAATACATTATTAAACTCAAATGTAGAGTCATAAACAAGCAAGGTAAATAATACTGAGAGATAAAAAGCTACGATATGTTTACTCTGCTT